CTCACTGCCCACCATGGCTTGTATCCAGTTCCTAGCTCACTTCACTGCTTTGGACATGGCTAGACTAGGAGAAGCACCATCTTTCAACACCTCTTATGGAGTCAGAGCTGGGGACCTAATGTAAAGGCATATAATTATCTCTGCTTGTCAGCTTCAGCTGTGTGTGACCACTGCAACAGCTTTTCTGCAGTCTTAGTCCCTTAATAAAAAGACACTGTCCCCTACTGCGCTGTTTCTTAACCTTTTTTTATACCAGGACCCATGTTATAAATATTGATGGCCAGTCCCGACCCACAGCTCCCTGGGTCTGCCAGCACCCCTCACTCCTGACCCACAGCCCCTGACTTCCCCAGGCACCATCCCCCTAGTGTGTGGGGCTGGGAGTGAGTGTATAGGGTGGGGGGGGTATGAAGGTGCATGTGCCCCCCCCCTATATTTGTGGGAGCATTGGGCTGTAGCCTGGATGGACCAGCATGGGCAGGAGCTGCCTCCGTGACTCATCAGGTGGGTCCCAGCATGGGAAGGTAGAATAGAGCAGTGGGACTGGTTGCTGCCGCTACCATGAACCCCACTCCAGCCATGGCATCAGTAGCACAAGGAGTAGCAGGGGTGGGGGAGAACCCACACTGTCCTCACCTCCTCCTCTTGCCAACTGCTTGCACACTGGGCTGCATTCTGTCTTGCCAGCATGGCCTAGCTTCTGGCAACTAGTCTCACTGCCGTGTTCCACCTTCTTGCACTGGGACCCACCTGCTGGGCCATAGAGGTGACTCGTGCCCATGCTGGTCCAGCTAGGCTGCAGCCCTGTGTCTACACAAATCTGACCCCCCCCCCCCCCCCCCCCTCCCCAAACACGTTGTTGGCTACAAAGGACTAACTCACAGGATCGTCATAAAAGTCTAGTTTATTGGACAGATACGAAAGTCAGACCATAAACCTTGGTGCTTATCCCCTCAAACACACACATCCACGCACACACACTCATAGTAGCTCGCTCTAAACGCTAAGCACTGGTGTCAAGATATATCTATCCCCAAGCGCTGTAGTCTGCTGTTGATGGCCAGTCGAGGCTTCTTTCAGTGTGATGTTGCTTCAGAAGGGGGTCGCCGGCTGGTCCGTCTGGCTGCACAGGCAGGGTGCTGGTCAGGTCAAAGAGGGTGCCATTCTTTGACCAGGGTCATTCTTCGCTGCCTTTTATCCCCCTCTGGAAGACTTTGGTGACTCCCCAATTCTCAGGCTTACCCAATCCAGGGGTTGTTGACCTTGAGGGATGTCCCTCTTGGTAGCTGCTGGATGGCAGCTGTCAGCCCCAGGGGTCACGTCCGCAGGTATGCGCAGTCTCAGAAGTCTGTTGATGAATTTAGATTGATTCACTGCCGTGATGAATAGTGCTCTGGAAGTGGTTGATCAGGGGGTATTTCAGCTCCAAGGGTCTGTTTCCAGCGTTGATTAGTTCAAATCAGGGCTTCCGCACCTTTAACAGTGAAGTTTCAGGGAGTTCCTGGCTCTGTATTGATTCTTTCCTCCTCTTGGTCTGTAGTTTTGTAGGTGTTAATTGCCGCTTATTAACTTGTTTATTGAGACTAGCTACTTTGTTTCACAATCAACCATGATTCATTCAGGGACCTGCTCCATGCAGAGATTCCTGTTCTTGCTAACATTGGTACATGGTACAACTTACTTTGTACATTTGTAAAAGCATCTACAAGCTCTATTTTCACTGCAAATACACCTTATATAAAAATAATAATGATATAATAAATGAAAGAGAGAGGAAAGAAGAAAAAGTAGAAAAGAGAAAGCATCCCCAAAAGGGGGGCAAATACTAAAAGAGGGGCTTTTTCCATTGGAGGAGCTTCACATGAGGGTGGTGGGGCAGACAAGGGTTTCTTGCTACAACATCACGTGTGTCCCCCCAACCAATGCATCATTTATGCCCTATAGATTTACTTGCAGGGAGCTGCAGGAGCTGCCCTCCACCCTGCATGGATGCCACACGCAGGTGTGTGTACGCACATACACATGGCACCTTCTGTGTCTCACTCCCCCCAGCCCCTTGCAGGCTGGAATGCTGCCAGCCTGCAAGGGGAAACCCATGGTTTCCTGAGTTTTTCTGAAATAGTTTGTGACCCTTTCAAATATTCTGACAACCCACTTGTGGGTTGCAACCCATGGGATGAGAAACACTGCCCTAATGGGAACAGCAGCTCCAAGGGCTTACTGTGGGGGCTCTGGGAAGCAGACTGAGACAAGCCTGCCATGCCCTAGGCCAGAGTTAGCAAGTGCTGGTGAGTGTCAGGCTGTGAATTCATTGGGTGCCTTTAGGCCTGTGATTTGATTGCCTTGTTCCTTGTTTCCAAATAGCTGGAGTCCAAGGCAGGGAAAGGTGTCCCTGAGAGGACACTCCCTGACTGGAAAGTGGCCCTGAAAAGGGAGCGAGAAGAACATCAACACCTCCTGGCTGAGTCCTACAGTGCTGTCATGGACCTGACCAAACAGTTGCAAATCAGTGAGAAGAACTGGAATCAGGAGAAACTGGAGCTACTGGGCCGGTTCAAGGATGAGCAGCAGCAGGCAGAGCAGCAAGTGAAGGAGCTGCAGAATAAAATCAACCAGGTGAGGGCTCATGGGAATGTCACTTCTTCATGGGACAGGTGTTCCCATGATGATCAGATGGCCCAGGAGGCAAATGTGCTCAGGGCTTGTGGTGGCCAAAATGTGTTCAGGCCCTGTGCTCTGTCGGTAAGTGCATAGCATTGCCCATGGACAGATGACATCTCTTCTCCCTTTGGTTTGCTGTCCCACTTTAAGCTTGCTGCAGCACCTTGGCTATCCCTCTTTTCATGCACTGTAAACTACCCCATGTAGTCATCCTCCAGGAACTCCATTTGGGCTCCTCCAGCCTGACACTAAAGGCCAGGCTGCATCCCGAGGCAGGGAATGGCCATGGTACTACCCAGACTATCCCTGAGTCTGGTGAGTCCAGAACATTCCTCTTGAGATCACCTGAGGGTACTCTGGGCTTTGTGAGAGTAGTCATATTATTCAGCCCTCTGAATGAGGACAGACATCAATATCTGTAGAAGTGACACTTGCTGCCTACTGGTTTGAAGGCCAGAGCTGGTTGTAACTGAGGCTTTTACCCATTCTTGTGTCGAGTAAACATCCTATCCTCTGCAATTCCCCAGCTGCAGAAGGGAGCTGACCGGTGGGCTCTGAAACACTCTGAAATGGAGAAGCACAGCAGCAACTGGAAAGAGGTAAGTAAGAGAGGAGCAGCTGCATCTCTTCAGCACTGGGGAAGAGGGGATGGAGTGACCAGCTCTACAAGCCAACAAGCTCCCTATGGAATTGGGTCCCTGGGAGGGCAAAAAGAGCAAGGACCATCCCCTTTCAGGGTCCCAGCCTGAAACACTAGCATCAGCCTATAGTGAGAGAAGGCCAGCCTCATTCTGTCTGATTAGGGAGGATGGAACACAAATGTGCTGGGACCAGTTACTCATATTACACAATAGTGGTGCAGCCCTCACTCTATAAACATTTAGACGAGGGGTCAGCAGCCATTCTGGTGGCAATCCAGAATGACTTGGCTCTAGTCTGAGGTCTACTGGCACTAGGACCTGGCTGCCGCTGCTGCTTTTTCCCTGCCACTCAGCTGTGGTGCATCACAGGCAAAGCCCAATGCTGCCAAACCCCACCAAAGCCACATCTCCATGGTTAGGATTCAAAGGCTTTGCAGGCTCTAGGTTGTCAGCCCCTGATCATCATTCTAGTGGGAACTTGAAATTCAGGGACTAAGGCCACAGCTGTTAGAGGTGTGTCTGCCAGCATCAGGCATCTGAAGACATGGCTCTTGTGACAGCTCTGATCTGTGTTGGTCACAGTGAGAATTACAGATCTTCTATTTGGGTGGCTGAATGCAGATTTAGATCCCCTGCCTTGGCACTCAGTTTCAGATATTTGACTGTAATGAGCTAGGTTTGGAACCCAGGAGTCTTAACTCCCAGGCTGAGTTCCAGTGCTGCTCTGTCACTAATAGAGTGTAGCCCTCTAGCTGCTGGGAAGTTGCTAATGCAGCCCTGTGTTCTGTTGTAGCATTACTGAGTCCCACATGCCAGCTTATGCCAGAGTTTCTTCCTGTGTCATTTTAGGCTCTTAATGAAAAAATCACTGACAAAGAGAACATTTCCGAAATGGATGCCAAAGGAACCAACTTAAAAAGGTGAGACAAACACAGCCTCAAGCTCAAGGGCAGTCCCACTCTGTTCACTCCTGGTGGGATGCAAGGACAAACTGGTATGGGCTTGAGTGCAAGTAATAATTGTAGGGGCACCGCTGCTTTGTAAGCATGGGCTGATGCAGTTCCCACTGCTTTAATTCTCCCATTTATCTCCAGAGTAGGATGGCCTTCCTGTCTGTCCCCAAGGGTTCTGAGATTGACTGGCACCTGAGGGTTCCTTGCTGTTCACTGAAGTTAGGAGACTGCTTCCTTTTGCATGTTCTTTGTGATGATTGCTGCCTGTCACTCTTAACAGAGTGCTCTTGGTGTGGTTTCCCTTTGTTTATATGGGAAGCACCCTGCTTGGGCAGGACATGATAGGAACTCCAGGGGATTGCGAGTCTGGGTTTGTAGAGATCATAGACATGCTGTGCCATCATACAGTGCAGCTTGCAGTGACATTACCGCTACATCAGATGTTCCCAGAGTGCTGCATTCAATACAGGTGACTTGGCACCCACAGGTATGATGCCTGAGGGTTTCACTGTCCTGAGCATGGCTGCAGTTACTTGCTTTCTAATCTTCCTCATCAGATCCAGGCCTCAGGCTCCTTATGTCACTGGCTCCTTGCATCTCTCCTTTTTTACTTTTGTCTCTGAGTTTTGCCTTCTCTGTGTTGGGCTGTAGGTTTCCCACTACCTTTCCAGTTCTCATGATCTTGGGACTGCTCTGATTTTTGGGCGTGCTGGCCCATATCACTCCTGGTTCTGCTTTTCTCTCTCCTTTGGACTACAGCGTCCATGCTGGCTGGGTGTAAATAGCCCCAAGTGAGTCTGGAGTACAACCAGAACCTCCAGGTGCTGCCTGATGCTCCCTTCACAGCAGATGGTAGCAGGGGCTGCAGTGGGAGGCCCCACAAAGTTATGCACGTGCATGTTAGAACTGCTCAGGAGCCCAGCTAGCAGAGTGGTTCCTTACCACGAGCCATTCTTAGGGTCCTTTTGGGTTCAGAAAATCCCACAATCCTATACATAGGCAGTATGCTCATAGAGGCAGCTCCTGTGCTTCATAGCACAGATACATTAGTGATAATATAGGCGCAGCTGGACCTACCCAAGTACAGAGAGCAAACAGGTTGGTTCTCCATCCAGGGCACATCTCCTTGGGCTGGGGACAGAATCATTCCTAGTATCTGTACTGCAGCAGCACCTAGAGGTCTCAGTTGGGGCATCGGGGCCCAGTTGTGCAAGTACCAGTGGATCCAGAGGAGGGGCTGGTGCCTGTTCCAGGATGTCACATGGCCAGTGGGTGTGGGGAGGAAACCCTCAGCCCTAGATGACACATAGAAGGGGCACTGGGGGTGGGGGAGGCACGTGCCCCCCACCCCCAGCTTCTGTGGGCGGTCGCCACTCACCATTCACTGCCATCGACACCACTGCTGGCATCTGTGGGTGGTTCCTACTTGCTGACACCAGCATCTGTGGGTGGTCCCTGCTCGCTGAAGCCGGCATCTGTGGGCAGTCCGTGCTTGCCACCATGGTGCCCGCCCAGTCTCAGGAGGTACCTATTCATGCCCTCAGCCCAGCCCTGTGAAATAGTGTGAATTAGAGTGAACAGTGAATGGGACTACTGTCATATCTAGGAGTCCCTCTAGACCAAGCACTGATAGTTGGCTCCCTTGTATATCGTAGTATATAGACTCTCTGGACAGAACCACACAACAGCTAGCTTGACAGCTGCAGGCTTAAAATCCCATCTTCCCTGTTGTGGGCTATTTATTCTTGAAAAATGAATGCAGCATGTACCTCTTTTGTTTAGGAGGGTCTTATACTAAACAAGTCTGCATTTCATTCTCCACTAAGAAGTAGTAGTCATGAGGGGTGTTCCATCTTCTGGAACAATCCAGGAAGGTCTCAGACCCTGGCAAGTTTCAGAGTCCTGCTAAAGGGCAAGCCAGCATCGTCCAGCTTCCCATCTAACAGCCAAGTAACACTGAAGACCAGCATGGAGAAGACACACAGAAGAAACTGGGGTACCCTGTAAATATGTCACTCACATATCAAGAATATGTCACTTCTTAATATAGGAGAGTCAGCTCTGACTTCAGGGTTTCCATCCAGTTTATTTTACATGGGACAGTTTTGTCTCCACCATAAACAGAACAAACAAAGAAACAAGCAAATGAGCAAACAACAAACAAAACTAGAAACTGCTCTCTTCCTTCAGAGCTTGAGAAGGGCAACTCTGGCTCTGTGCTTCTCAGCACCCCAGCCTCCTCTTTTCTCTCCCCCTTGCACTCTGTTCCTGGAGCTGGTAGCCCTCTTTATGACTCCAGCCTCATTAACTAGTTATCAGTTTCAGCTTGCTCCCAGCCAGGAAGACTAGCAACTTCTGACCACCTGCAGCTGGATTCCAGCCCACTGAAAGGTGAGCACTTCTTTACATGCCTGCAGCACCAAACCTGAACCAGTCTTACCAGCACCAAATCCAGCATCTAAGATGGGGTGATCCAAATGCAGGTACAAAGATTGTATGCAGAGCTGTGTCCTTCCATAGGATTGAGCTCATACAACCTCCAGAGATTTAATCATGAAGTCCCCTCACGATGCTGAGGGCTGGTGTGAGAAATGGTCTACAATAGTGGTTCCCAAACTCTATCAAATTACGCAACACCAATTTAAAACAATATAACCTTAAGCAACACTGGCGAATTTTTGTGATATAAAGTAATTATCTGTTAACGTACCATTGACAGTTTGTCTGCATGCCACTGGTGGTACGCATACCACAGATTGGGAACCACTGGTCTACAACAGAGACTTTAGTGCTGCCCCTGGCCTTGGTGACACACCCGTCCTGGCATTAATGCCTGCTACAGAGGACACATCCCTGGAAGGCCCAGAACCACTGTTGATGCTGAAACACTGAAATACAGACATCAAGACATATCAGTATTGCCCCCCTAGTAGGTCTGTTTCTCATTATCCCTGGGGCATATGTTCTCATCCTTGAGCAGAGAACACCCTGCTCTGAAGGTGGTGATTGACACTCTTGATCTGCACCCTCCCCACCTTCCCTCCTCACAGACTTGAAACTATGAAACTTACCTGTTGGGCTGGGGCAGAGGAGGGGGTGTCGCATGTTAGACTTTGAGGTTGCTTTTAAATGCCAAAGGTGATCTCTTACTTAAAAAGGTTGGAGACCACTGTCCTACACTATGCCTCCCATGGTCCAGTTGAGGGGGCGAAGGGATGACAATGACTGTATCATACAGTTGGGGGGACTATCATACTCCCTGTATCATACATGAAGAACAGCATGGTGGAAAGAAAGAAGTCACTCCCCTTCTAGTGTCTCTAGTGGGTAGAGCATCAGGAGGAAACATCTAGGCTTCCCAGTCAATTCCTCTCTTGAGCCCATTCTCTACCCCACCACCACCTTCCTCGTCCCTCTTCAGGGACTTTTCTTGCAAGGGCTGTAACAAATAGAAATGGCTTGTTATTTGTGTATGGGCCATAGAGGAGGATCCCACAGGGTTCAGAAAAGAGGATTCTACTGGTATTTCCTGATTCTGAAAAATAACAGGGATCTTATCCCAGACCTGAAGAGAATGAATACATACATGCGTCTCCCCAGGTTCAAGATGGCATCATGTATCTCAGTCATTCCATTTCTCCATGCACAAGATTGGTTCATGGCTTTCAGTTTACAGATGTGTACTTCCAGATAGAAATCTCTGTGGGCCACAGGAATTATCCAAAATTCACAATGGGACCCTGACATTATCAACCTGAGATTCTACCTTTGGGCTTGCTATGTTTTTCTCAAACTTCATTTTCCAGCAGTATTGACATATTGTACTTCATTATGCTCATGATTAACTTTCTCTTGCCTGATGGTATCAAGATTCCTCAAGTGCCTCCTTGAGCCATACCCTTTGATTCAAGACCTGATTGCCATATGGAATCTCAGTCTCCTGACAAAACTCATGAAGTCTCTGTTTGAATCCGTATCAGAACATTTTAGACACCACCTGATCATGGCTGCTATCCCCTCAGCTTGGAGTCAGCAGCTCCAGCTCTTCTGCCCCCACAATCTTCTGTAGGGACAGGGTGGTGTTGAGTTCACATTCCAAACTCATTCCTAGGGTGATCCTGTAATTCTTTCTGAGCACACCAATTACCTTGCTAGCCTTCTTCACAAAACTGTGCTTGTTGCCAGGTGGAAGATGGCAACCTTCACCTGATCCTCCCTGATAAGCACTTTGGCAAAACCAGTGCCATGAGCATGACAACTGAATTCTAGTCATCTGGTGAGCTTCTGCCTCTGAACGTTAAGGCACAGTCTGCCAGGCAGAGCCATCCCTAGGGGTGTGCAGGGCCTGGGGCATATCAGCCTGTGTGGGGCCAGAGGGGTAGGTGGTATGTGGCTGGAACTGGCAGCACTCAGCAACAGTGGAGCTGGAAGTGCTTGGCAGCCACGGTGGGGCCTAGCAGAGGAAGAAAAAAAATGGGGGGGGGCAGGGGCTGAGCATGCACATGTGCATACGCACAAACATGCCCTCAGATGGGAAAGCCTGAGGGAGGAGGGGAAAGGGCCAAGGAGGGGAAAGCGGCATTGCCTGGCGTGTCCCCAGCCCTGGTCACCTCCCAGCCTCGGCCACACCAGCCCCACCTGCCTCCCAGTCCTGGCCCTGGCTGCTTCCCAGCTGCACTGGTGCTGGCTGTGCCAGCCTTTACCACCTCCTGGCCCTGGCCACTGCACCTGCCTTGGCTGCCTCCCAGCCCTGGCAGTGCCAGTCCGGTTGCCTCTGCACCTAGGCCCTGGCCGTGCACTGGCTGAGGGGGCCCAGAGCCAGGGGCTGGAGTGGGGCCAGCCTCAGCTGCACTGCTGGGCTGGAGGGGATGGAGTCCCTGGGACCCCTGTGCCTGCCCTGCCCTGCCCTGTCATCCCCAGGAAGAGCCTGGCGGCTTCTCTGGAGGCGCGGCACCAGGCAGCCAAGATTGGGGAGGGCACGTGGCTCCCTGATCTTTGCACGGGTGAGGGCGGACCACAGCTGCAAGTTGGGCTCAGCCTCTGGTCTGTGCCTCCATGCCTTGCCACTGCTGCTTTGAAAGCGGCAGGCACCACCATTTGCGGGTCGCCGCTGGGTGGGCCGGGCAGCGAGGCACGTGGCGGCGGCCCCCACTTTCAGAGCGACAGTGGCGAGGCATGGAGACATGGCACAGAGGCTGAGCCCAGCTCACTTAACATTATTTCCTTTATGTGGCAGCCAGGTTAAAAGCCAAGTTTCGGAGAGCAGTGCTGAAACGTGTTTGACACAGCTGAGTTCCTGCAGTGGGATTCATGCTGACACTGAGGGAAGAGGAAAGGAGTATTACTTATGCCAGTTTTTCTCAACCGGTGGGATGCATCCCACTGGTGGGATGCAAAGGTCCTCTAGGTGCCATGGTGGGACTTCTGGTTTTGCTTTTGCGTGCTTCAATCCTGCTCTCCACCCCCGCCCCCCACTCTTCGACTGGCCTTTGGGGACCCTGCCCCCCCGCTCATTGACTGGTGGGACCAGGATTTTTTGACCTTACATAGGTGGGACGTAAGGTGCAAAAGGTTGAGAACTGCTGACTTATGCCACATTAATGGTGTTCGTTGAGGCACGGTATTCAGAGTGCGGATCCTGCTACTTGCTCTTCCTTTTAGAAGTCCTTAGTAACACAGACTTGGCAAGGGAGCTTAGAAGGGCCACAGACACTGCCCTCCATGTCCTACAGGAGCTTGAGGTGGCTCAGGAGCTTTTGCAGCCCTGCCAAACTCTGCCACACAAAATATCTCTCGTGTGCAGGAGAGATACACAGCCACAGCAGGATCCATGTGAATAATGGCACAGATGTTCAACTGGCAGCTGTGGGCTGCATGGGGCCCCCAGGCTCTCAGTCCAGGTGCCGCTTCCCCCATTGCTTTCCTGGTGCTGCTGCCATATTCTCCAGGCTCTTCCTCCCTCCTGCTTCTGTTTCCTGCCCCCTCCCTTGGGGGACTGGAGCAGCATGTGAGACACAGGGCCTGTAGCCAGGGGTTTTGGGGGATCCTGGGGACCCTGCACAGCGCTGGTGCACCACAGCAGGAGTCACCACTGTGCAGTGCAGTGCAGGGGGCCAGTGCTGCACAACACAGTGCAGTGGGAAGGCCACACAGCACCCATGCAACAGTGTACATCCTGCATGGCATGCAGTTTGGGGGCAGGAGTGTGCATGCAGCCCTCAGCCACTCACATGTTGGACTTTTTGTAGATCCAGGCACTGCAGGGCATGTAATCAATGTTTAGCTCCATCTTCAAGCATGCTTTACCCATTGCCCTCTTTCTTCCATTTAGGACAAAATCTGTTTCCTCTATGTCAGAGTTTGAAAGCCTGCTTGACTGTTCTCCCTACCTTCCTGGCAAGACCACCCCTGTGATTTCTGACCACACTCGAGGCAAGAAGGTGTCTCCAGCTGCACAGCTCATGCCTAATGGCATAGCAGATACCACAGGAGTTAAAGCCAAAAAATGTACATATGTGAATACTGAGCAATCCAACCCCGATAGCCTGGTGAAAGACAAGTGGAGCATCTCCTCATGGGACTACTCCCAGGCAAACAACCTCTCTGGGCAAGATCCAGCCCAAAAACAGATGCAGAGAAGCTACACAGCGCCAGACAAGACTGGGATCCGCATCTATTACAGCCCTCCTGTTGTTCGAAGGCTAGAAGCACCACTAGTCCAAAACAAAGAGGGGAAGATCATGATTGAGCCTGGCTTCCTGTTTACAATGGCCAAGCCCAAGGAGCTGGAAGAATCGGACAGCTCTGACAACATGTACAGTAGCTGGCTGTGTAACTTCTCCAAGCAGCACCGTGAGCTGCTGGACAGCACCCCTGTTGAGAACACTGTGCCCCCAGTGCCCCGGTTCCCATCCTCCCTGCATGATTTGGAGATATCTGGCAACATGAGCGATGACATGAAGGAAATCACCAACTGTGTCCGGCAGGCCATTCGCTCCAGTTCACTGGAGAGAAAGGTGAAGAGTACCTCCAGCCAAACGGTGGGCCTGACGACCACTGGGACCCAGACCATTCAGACAGTGAGTGTTGGTCTGCAGACAGACATGTCCAGGGGCAGCATCCACAGCAAGAGCTGGTCCCCACGCAGCTCCTCCCTAATGTCTGTGCGCAGTAAACAGATCTCTTCATCTTTGGACAAAGTCCACTCCAGGATCGAGCGTCCCTGTTGCTCCCCCAAGTATGGCTCCCCAAAGCTGCAGAGAAGGTCTTCCTCTAAACTTGACAGTACCAAGGACAGAAGCCTGTGGAACCTTCATCAGAGTAAGCAAAATGGGTCAGCCTGGGCTAGATCCACAACCACTAGAGACAGCCCAGTCCTCAGTAACATCAATGATGGCCTGTCCAGCTTGTTCAGTGTTGTGGAGCATGCTGGAAGTACAGAATCCATCTGGAAAACAGGGTGCCCAGAGAACAAAGCAAAGCCAGAAGCCCCCAGATACGGTATAGTGCAGGAGTTCTTCAGGAATGTATGTGGCAGGGTGCAGAGCCCCACAACTGCCACTGAGAAGAAGGAAGCAGCAGGGGATGATGGCAACAGAAAACTGGACCACTCTTTTCCAGCCACGTACCACCAATCTGAAAATGTTTCCAGGCTCCTAAATAAGAAAACTCTGAAGCAAAGCAGTAGCGATGAACTGAAGCCACCTTCCCCAGGCCAAGGAGGCAAAGACGGGGGCTGCAGGGATCTGGACATCATTTCTGCTATAGTCAGTGAGGTAACACCTTTATTTTTACTTTAACAGGGCAGCATAGGCTTAAAACGCAGTGTCAGTCCAGCTTCTGAATCCACCAGGTGGGGTAGCTTGCTGCCCAGTCTGAAGCATAGTACAGTAGCCCTTCTTGTGTGCATGAGAGAGGTGACAGGAGCAGATTTCTACTTCCTTTATCAGTTGTGGGTTTGGCTGCATGCCTCATTTGGGATTAGACAGTCAGGTAGCAGCGGCACAGGCTGCTGTTGGGTGGGACCCCACAGTCTCGGCAGACAAGCTCTGTTGCTCACAGACAGCTGACTGCAGGGCTTCTGCAACAAATGTCACCTCACAAGGCTGGGCCAAGATGCTTTTCCACGTGCCCATTTCTGTGATGTCAGCCTACACTCAGAAAGAGGTGCAGTGTGAGACCTCCACTCACTGGAGATCAGATTTCCTGGCACAGGCACTTCTTCCTCCTCTGGGTTTACACTTGCCCAGCAAAATGGGGCCCAGAGGCCTCTGGCTACCACAACATAGGTAATAGGAATACTAGCCCACTGCTAACCCTGTGCCTGCCTGAGGAGTTGATATGTCTGGATGAGGGTATGAGGCCAGCCCTAGCTGCAGCTCTTCTTTATGCCCAGTTCCTTCCTAATCCTCCCCCGCTTCTCTTTTCAGGACACAGCATGTGACTGCAGCTCCCAGTCCCTCACTTCTTGCTTTGCCCGGCCATCCCGCTCCACTGTTCGTCACTCCCCTTCCAAGTGCAAACTGCATCCTTCAGAGTCCAGCCGAGCAGAAGAGAAGGCAGGGCCCCTGAGTGAGTGAGGACAGTGGGGCTGTGCAGTATGTCTGCTTTCAACTGTCCTGATGAAAGAGCGCGCTTCCTGACTCTGCCAGCTCCTCTGCAGCCAGTGGGACTGATTGTACCCTGGGAAAGCTGAGCAGGGGGCCCAGGGGCCCCTCTCTGAGACACAGGCACAGATCCATCTGTCTCCTAACTGTCCCCTAATCAAGGGGATGCTTAAGAAGCAGATGCTGCACTAGAGTGAGGAGGATGAGGCTCCCAGCAATACGTGTGGACTTGTTCCAGGGGACTGCAGGGAAGCCCCGCTGGGGTGGGTGGCTCCTTTCATTGAGGAAGTAACCTGCAAACATCATGGCTCCTGCCAGTAGGAGGACAGTCTCCAGGAGAGAGAGGAGCCCCCAGAGCCTGATGTGGAATCACTGTGCCATCTCCATAGCCCTTCAGGCTCCTCAGAGACTTGCTCCCTGAGGGTCCCCACTTTGGGCCAATGCAGCTCCTTCCCTGGCAGTGGTCTGTTGCCTTGAGAGGAAGAATGAAGAGATGGGCCTCACCTGATCTGGGCTGTTGGCTCAGACAGCTGCAGTCCTGCAATGGCCTCTGCAAAGACCCTCTGGCGCCAGGGACTTCTGGGATCTATGCTGCTGCCGTTTTTGCTCATACCAGTCCTGGAGAGGGGTTGCTGCTGGGAGAGCAGATTGGTCAGCACCCAGAGACAGTGCCACAGTAATGCTGATGATGCTGTTCACAGACAGGGCTGTGGGGAGGGTGGGGGGAACTGTGGGCTCACGGTATAAAGCCTATTGAAGCTGTTGTCTGTGTCATCTCCCATCCCAGTGCAACTGAAACAGGCACTCAGGGAGCTCTGTCTTCAGAGAGTGCCCCCTTCAGAGAGTCTGTCACCGGCACCCCCCTTAACAGACACCTGCAGACAGTGCCACATCCTCCTTTCCTGCTGCATGCGGGGACTGCTTAGCACATCCCAGCTGGATTTGGATTGCAGCTCTGTTGCATGACCCTTTGCAGCAGGTGCCTGCTCCTGTGCTGGAAAGCTGCAGAGAGAGGAGGATCCCAGGGTTCATGGAGAGGGCATGTTCAGGTCCTTGTCACCAAAACAATACTGGATTCCTTCTCCCTCCCCTACCCCATGGAACAGAAAGGCTGCTACACAAAACAGCAGCCAGCTCTGCCCCCCTGGGGTGCTCCAAGTGAAAGCTCTTGGGCTTACCAACAGAGTGCAAATCTGCATCAGGACTGCAGCTGCTGCCTTGGCCTCTGGCCACCTTTGGGGATTTTGGCTGCAGAAGCTCTGCAACCACCTGACTTCTGAAAGCCTGACCCCAAGATATGCAACTAAATGCAGGGGGGAGAGAAGCTGGGCCAATCAGAAGATGGACATCTAGGCAGCCGTAAATACAGAGCTTGGGTAGCCTTCTTTATACTGTACTTGAAGTGCTAGGTACAAGGTGTTGACATGCTGGCACTTGGATGAGCTATGAATATCTTTTGGGCTCCTTTCTCTCCCTGCCATGCCTTCGGTGAGGCAGTGCTGCACCCCACCATTGTTTCAATTTCAGAGGGGTTTTACTTAGTGCTACTCCAACAGCTGTTCATGCGAATAACAGCTCCTGAAAGGTTCCAGTTCCTGTCAGAGGTGTTCAGCTCCCCAGGACAGTTGCCTTGGCTGTGCTCCAGGAGACTCTTTTAGTTTCTAATTTATCACTGATACTTATTGGTACGCTGTTCACGATGCAATTTGTAGAGGTCTTAAGGGGTCACTTATTAGTGTGCTTGGCCTGTTCTTAGCCTGCAGCTTGTTATTTTTGTGTCCAAAAAAGGCAGGAATGTTTGATCTGACATGCTGGGAGCAAGTGTGTGCATGATGTGTCACTAAAGGGGCAGATGCTTTTGGTGCCACAGCCAGAACTCAGTCAGGCATTCCCTGAACAGTATGGGTGCCTAGATGTAATTCAAGTTGAAGCAACTGCTGAAGGACCCATACTTCTGCCCAGCAGGTACTGAGCACAGCACACACTTCTCCCCCATGGGCTCTTTCACTCATTTCCTGATCAGCACCTCCTTTGTCTGTAAAGCTGGCTGTACTCTTGACCACATCCCCCCCCTTGTGGGGGCTGGGTTTACTCCACTTGCCTATTGCCTTCTGGTCCCTAATGCTGATCAGATACCACAGTGGTGAGTGGGGGTATTAAGATTTAGGGTGGTAGTTATAGACCAGGGGGGCTAGTCCAGACAGAGGGAATCCATTGGCTTTGTGCCAGTGCAGTTACTACACAAGGGTCACTGGGTAGTGCCTTGGTGTAATCAACCCTGGCCTTGAGCTAAGCATGTAGTGAGCACAGTCACTATGGGAGCCATCAGCCTGACAGATGGCTCAGTGGTATCTGTCCAGCTATCAGCCTGACCACTGTGGCCTGTGCTAACAGGGGTCAAGCACCAAGTCTGTTCTTAAGCTCCTGGCCAAGCAGCTCCTGATTTTGCTGCACTTAATGTGGTACCAAGTTAAGCTCACTGCAAGGCTGTGGCTTGGGGAGCACTCAAGCCACACCCCGTTAGCAAGCTGTAATTTAAAATCCCAAAGCCTTATAGGTGGCGGTAATGGCAGGTGCTGTGCCAGGCCTAGGCTCATTTGTCACCGGGGGCAGTGAAAGCAAATGGGTCACAGCACAGAGAACTACAGGGAGCTTCTCTCTGCCTATCCCTCTCTGAGAGCTCCAGAACCAGTAGCATTTTACACCCACTTTGCACAGGTTTGAGTGAGTCCCTGAAGGATGAGTCAGGGATAATCTAGACTTGTTTGATGCTCTCACCAGCCTTCACTAGGCATGTCTGTCCCCTGGGCAGAGGCAGGGTTTCACCACAGAGCTGTTCCCACCCTCCCTGGCAGACTGGTATCAGCCTGTGAAGATCCCAGTGATTCTGGAGAAGCACTTTCTGGTCATGGAAGGAGGCTGCAGCTCAACTATTCACTTCTTGCACAACAGGCTGCCTTGCTGGGTGCAGGTAAGGGAAACAGAAGAAGCCTTTCCATTTCCCTTCCACCTCAGCACCAGCAGTCACAGTGCCACTAGCATGCCATGAAGCCCAGACCTGCCAGCCTGCCTCCCTATGCTGTTTAATATTGCAGCGGAGTCCATCTCCAGGTATCTTTAACTGCTGCTCCTTGATTGGGACATTCCAAGCTGCAGCCTCCATGTACAACATGCTAGTGCTGGAGATACCCACTGTAAGATAGGGCTGGGCTGTTCCTCAGTGCTCCAGTACCAGTGATGTACCACAGGCAAAGCTCCTTGTCACCTTAATTCAGATGTGTGGTGCTCATAAGTCAGCTCCTGAATTCTGACCATGTGAGCATCTAAGGAAAGCTGCCAAATTTATCACCCCATTCCCCCAGCATTACAAAGCTATTCTGGTAAAAACACACAAACAAGTCACTGAGGTGTGCAGCAGCTACAGCAGTGGGGGCCAACCATGGCAGGCATGCTGCAAACTAGCCTGGCACTTACCCAAATGCCACTCTGATCCCCTCCCTCTGCCTGATGTGTTGCTCTTCTTTCTGCTCTCTGCTCTGTGCTTCATGCCTGCTTTGCTTTTTGCTCCATGCCTTATCTGCTGTTGTGCTGCTGGCCCCTTCCCCAGTCTGCTGCATGTCACACACAAGCTACCCATGTCACTTGTGGCACACATGCCACAGGTTGGCATCCCCTGAGCTAGAACATGAATTTATAGCACATCAGCTATGCCATAGTAACTGCCTGGCAGTAATTGTGAGGTAGCTGACACCAGCACACACTAAGATCATAGCCTCATAGTGACTTGTGCATATGACCACACCCTTATTTAAAATGAATGTGGAGAGATGGCTTTCAACAAACCCTGTTTGCTGGCAACCTCTCTTCAAACAAATATATAGGCAAGTTAAAATTTCTCCACAGGGACACTTCTGATACCCTTTAGCTCCCCCATGGCATGTCCCAGCCTTTTCCCTGAATTCAGTCTGCTGAGGTTAGGAAAGCCCAGTAGATATCCCTGGGCATGTGGTTCTGGCTGACAGAGGAATTGGCCGAGAGAGAGAGATGCCCTTTTTCCTGGCAGTGCTTAGACTAGCCCAAGCCCTACTCAGCTGGACATGTGAAGACAGCTGACTTAATCAGACTTGAATTCCAGGTGTTTTGCTGTACTGGGACCCTACTTTCCCTCCAGCCCCCATTACCTTTCCTTTAATGAGCACCAGCCTCCACTCTTTTGTCTCTGAAGTCTGTTTCTTGTTCATTTTATCAGCACAGTTCTTGGCACAGTCTGTTAATTTTGGCTTTCCACCAAGGTTGCAGGGAACGTAGAGGGAGACACTGCATATGGGGTGAATTGTTATGATATGAATGTAAGCAGTACGTTCATAGAGGATGGGGCTGGGCTCGATGTGTGGCTGCTGCTGCCTCATCCTCTGCAAGTGGCGCTGGGCTCGGCACTTAGCTGGTGTGGCTCCATCGTCTGTGAGCAGCGCTGGCATGGCCCAGGCAGCACCGCTTGCAGGAGATGGGACTGTGCCACCTGAGCGGTGAGCCCAACCCGGTGCCTGATTTTTTTTTTTTTGATGTGGCACAGTGTATAAGTAGAAATTGATTTTTAAGACCCAAAAATTGGGCTTCAAAACCTGACTTAAACACCATGTAATATGGTACTTGCTTATTAAAGTGTCTTAAGGATATCCCTTATTTTTTGGTTTGCCCTGAGGGCCTGTGCTAAACATGAGGTGGGGTGGGGGCAAATCACTCTGAGTTTTTTAAGATGAAGGACTTTAAAAAAAATAATGCAATTAGCTAATTTGGGGAGATGGATGCTAAAATAAAAACACCAATTGGATTAAGAGATTGCAGGTTCTGAGGGCTGACACTTAAATCCTGCAGCCTGCTAGTGAGCAGAATTTGGAAATGGAGGGGGAGGAGATGGCAGGATAGAAAGCAAGATGTCCATGGTAGTTCAGAGATCCACCTCAGCCCAGGAGAGCTTTAGCACATTATTAAGTCACACTGCTAATGCTGACAGATTTCTCATTCTAAAAATACAACACCAGCTGCCTTATGTGCTAATGAAGCCCAATTACCTGTCTGCTGCCTTCTAGGGCACTTTCTTCAATGTGCACTGCTTGGAAAAAGGGTAGAAACCATCTTCTGTTGCCAGGTAGAGATTATTGGATTTAATGCAAAGAGTAGATTAGTAGTTGTAGGAGGTGGAGACCAAACCTGTGGAAATGACCCCACTCAGAACCTGCATCCTCATGTGTTACAGCCCCACACTCTAGGGGCTGGAGAGCAATTATCAGTAGATGTCTTCAACTGCCTACTCCCATGGGGTGTGAATTGTTCCCCTGCTTGCTACTCCACATGGTTCTGTTCACTGAGAGTCCTTGTACATGAAGCTGCTACCCCTTCTCCCTCCTGGCTTTGCTGCAACCACAGGCAGGCAGGGTGCATGCTACACCATAGCCATGTCTTGTCCTCCGGCAACGTGTGTGTTACTGTGTGCCTCCCTTACCATTAGAATACACAAAAGATTCAGTGTGGTTTCTACTTGAGTGATTCCTGCTGTCGCCTTCTGTTGACATATCCAGAGAGTGTCTGGGCATGTCCTCACCGGAGGAGCAGAACACAAAGTAGGCAGCTTATTGTTCACCCTACTCAGTAAGCCAAAACTGTTGGAGCCCAGTTTTCATGTGACCCTTGCTAATTTTTGCATGTGTTTGTAGAGCTTGGGGTTGGAGTCCCTCCAGGAGGGGCTGGGACAGTGTTATTAATGTGGTTGGTAACTCATGTTGTAAATACTTTCGTTTGGGAAAACTTTTAGCATTTTCATTGATGACTAGATTTTTTTTAAAAAAGCCTCTACTTTTTGGAATGTGGTTTTTCATTTTTACAATGCCTTTGAATTGTAATATTTGTATGTTCTGTCTTATGCTGTAAATAACAGTGCCAGGTGTTTCTGCTATGGGGGAATTAAGGACTAGTTCTGTGGCTAGGATACAGCTTTAGCTCAAACATGCTTCAAGGTACAATGCCTTGCCTCGGCAAAGTCAGTTGAAGGATGCAAGGAAGTACCTGGGCAGCTCTGAGCTGTGGGGGTTGTAATGTGCAGCCTTTCACAGAATTACTTCTTGCTGTGAAGCAGAGGAAACAGTCTCCAAAAGTTCTGAGCGTCACTCAGCTGGGGACCTCGGGGGCCACCCCATTCTGAAAATTGTTTGACATCTGGCTACCACCTCTTCCTATACCTTTGGTTACATCTGCTATGTCCTGTTTCCCAGGACAGAAGGGTCTGTGTGTCTGTAGTAGAAAGCTATGATTTCACTGAATTCCCATTCTTCTCACTTGATTATGTTTCCTCCCTGTGCTTGTGTATGTGAGAGGAGAGCTGCCCTCTGGGAACTGCTGTCCTTACAGCCCTTCCATGTGGGACTAATGAGCTGGCTCACAGAGGGCAGAGCTCTGTCTCTGCTTCACCCACAGCATTGCAGCCTTTTCCCTGGTCACCCTCATGGCAGCACTAGTGTCTGTGATCACTCAGCCCCATGCAAAATGTCTGCTTTTGTGGGAAGCTCAGGGCCAGGGAAAGGAATGGGAGTGCTCTAGCCAAAGATCTGTTGGCTGCTGCCTACTGTTCCCTGTATCTTCTCTCAATGGCCCTCAGGTTTCCAAGGTTGGGTTCTTTGCTCTCCCCTTCCTCTAGCGTAGCCCCATGTTCACATGAAGAACAGTTCTTCTGCTTCTGATGGCGGGGCTTTCTAATTTGCTCCATACTTCATCTGTATCATGTGCCTCCTTGTTGTATTTTAGAAAATAAAGGGACTATGAACCCTCAACTCAACCCCAGAGATACGTTCTCTGTCTGGACACTGCAGGACTCCATGTTGACCCCTCCAGTCAGTTCCCTCACCACACACAGCCCTCTAGCTCCCAGAGAAAGGCAAAATTCTTTCTGGGAACCCTTCTCTCTGCCTTCTCCTACCCAGTGTTAGGAACTTCCCTTGCCCTTCAAGTGACCTTGAAGCTGTGCTCTAACTGTTGGAGATTTGTCATAAACTTAGTAGTAGGGAAGAGCAGTCTGCATATGCCACCCCTGCTTTAGGAGCAGCCAGAGTTGCCCAGTCTTGTAAGGAAAAAACCTTCATTAGGAGAGAGCTAGAGTGACAGAGCAGCTGGCTGTCTTTATCCTGACTCCTTCACAGACTCCGGCTGAAAGGCATCAGGGCTCCCATTCCTTCCCAACCACCCACAAGATAAGCCAGGACAAAGAAGCCAAAGACCACTCTTAAAATTGGTTCCATTCCTATGTGAATGCTAGGAGCTCGGTTTTGTAAGTTGGGGTCTGCTTTTTCTCTGCTACTGTGTGGCCACAACAACTCGCAGTGCTGCAGTGGGGGTTGAGCTTGGTGCAGCCCCTTGTACGTTTGGATGCTGAGCTGAGGTTGCCTTGCTGGGTTAGAAGCAATAACTGAGGTGGCACAGGCCTGTGGGTCAAAAGGATGGAGCCTTGCTTTTCCACCTGTGCTACTACCTAAACTCCAGGCAGCCCCAGCAGAAGCAATAGAGCAGCTATTCAATAGCCAGAATACATTTGAGACTGAACCTTGCTCTACACTGGGTGAATTGCAGAGCACATAAGAACTCTCTGCTAGGGAAGCCATTTAGGGAAGATCAACTGTTCCACTCTGTATCAAAGGCAAAAAGCTTACCTTGGAGCCTTCCCAGTTGCTGCTTTGCAAATTCATATGTATTTGAAACCTCTCAGAGGAGGTTCTCCACCAATGTGCCTGGCTCCCTGCTGCAGCAGTAAGTGCTAAACTTTGTGATGCCCCAAGCTGTCACTGGCGGGGAGTGGGAGTTGGAGCCTTTCAAAGGGTTCTGACAGCTTTGGGACCCAGTTCCTAGCAGGACATGGGTTCACATTACAACTCCGGCACTGCATGTAGGAAAAACGTATCCCATTTTGGGCAACCTTGGCACAGAAGCCAAAGAGTCTGACATCTTTTCCTGTCCCACAAGGTGGCCCCTCAGGACAGGGCACAAGCAAGCTGAGGGTGGGGCTGGAAGAAAGCACCTTTGCCACCACCTCTTTGGGTCTATATAGAGCATGAGGTAGTGCCATGCTGACGTGCTGTGCCTGCCAACTGCCAAACTAGCAGGAGTACAACCATGTTGGGGTGATGTTGTGTACACATTCCAGTTACACAGCTACCAGTTACACTTCAGCTGGTTCAGGAGCAGTAGGTGTGTTGTGTCCCTGGATGGCACTGCCTTGCACTGTCTAGAAATACGCTCAGAGGTTTCAACTGTCTAGAGCTCTGACTCCTAGCTCAAATGTAGAAGCCTTCAGAGTTGTGACTCAGCCCCTATCCCAAGTGACCCTGTAATTGGGTCAGCCAGCTTTTGTACCTGCAACATACCTAGCCTGGCTGCTCCCAATGCACAAGCTAGTTTTAAGGTCATGAAGATGCTGCAGATTTCCATCTGCCACTTTCTGCCTGGTACCAGCATCCACTTCCTGTGGCCTGTGGTTGGACCAGTTTTGGGCTGGGTCACTGCTGAAGAGCCACTGAGGCACACAGCTTGCTCCTGTTGCAGGTTAGTTCCATCCCTTCTTTGCTCTTAAATACTGTTAAGATCCAGGCTTGAGAAGCCTCTTCCTCATTAGCTGCTGTTCCTTTGCTGTATCATCTGGCGGCCCTCAGGGTGAGGCCCAACTCCCTCACAACACGCTGCCTGCTGGTTCAAGTGAGCTGTAAGAATGGATAGACCAAAGTCCCCAAGCAAAGCCCCAAGCAGACCATTCCTCAGAGTGCAGATCGTGGTCCTAGCATACAGGCTCTGTGCACCCAGTAGTGCTGTAGTTGTGATCGCTGTACTTGACACTCTTATGTATACTGCAGTGCACCATGAGCGGTGATGGAGGAGTGTAACAGCGTGATGCAGAGGGCTCAGCTCCATAAGGGTCCCTCATGTATGTGCATGCACCCGTGCAGATGTGTGCCCTGCCCCATCTAAACCTAAAGAGCATACCACCATGCACCCATTCTGCATATACACGCTTGCCTCTGTGGCCTTATGTACTTGGAATCCATTTGACACATCTGGAGTGCCACAAGGACTCTGTACCCGCAGCCCCAGCAATGGCTCCCCACTTCTCTCCAAATCCTGTCCTTTAGCTGTCTTGCCTGTTTCCTTCAAACGTTTTCCATGAATCTGTTTCCGTTTCCCTTCACTACCCCCAGTGCCCTTCACAGCCATCTAGCTTCCTCTGTTGCTTCTTTCAGTGCCCCTCATTGATCCATGTCTCCCTTGTTTAGTTCCCATGCCTGTCTGTGGCTGTATGATCACTGTCAGATAATTCAGTCTCCCTCTGTTTTGCTCCCAGCTCCACTCTCACTTTGATTCCCCATCTTGCACCTGTTCTGCTCTGTCTGCACTGTGCTTCCCCAACTCAATGCTTCATCACCTCCCTACATTACTTCTTCCATACCCTGTCCTGTTGCCTATCTTTTTTCTACTACAGCTCCTTCTCCTGCTTTCTCACCTCTTACCCTTCCTGTCATTTTTTTTCAGTCCCCACAGATTCCCTCATTTCTCTTCGCTGCTCCCAATGATCTGTCTTGATCTTCCCTGTGCCTTTCTCCATTCTCTAATTCTGCATTGCATTTCCTCACTTAGTTGTATCACCCCACAAGCCCCTCCCCTTCCTCCTCTCACCTCCTACATTCCTCTTGCATTCCGTTTTCCTCCAGGTCATGCGCAGAAACTGCATATGTTGCACTCAGATTCTGTCCCTTCCCCCACCTCTTGCCTAACTCCTCCCATGCTTCTGTAATCTGCTGCTAGCACTCCCATTAATCTTTCCTTGTACTTCGTCACTTAGAACTATAGAATCATAGAAAATTAGGGTTGGAAGGGACATCAGGAGGTCATCTAGTCCAACCCCCTGCTCAAAGCAGAACCATCCCCAACTAGATCAGACCAGCCAAAGCTGTGTCTAGGTGGGTTTTGAAAACCCCCAAGGATGGAGCTTCCACCACCTCTCTGGGTAACCTGTTCCAGTGTTTTACTACCCTCCTAGTGAGAAAATTCTTCCTAATATCTAACCTCAACTTCCCTTGCTGCAACTTGAGACCATTGCTCCCTGTTCTGTCATTTGCCACCACTGAGAATAGCTTAGCTCCATCCTCTTTCAAGCCCCCCTTCAAGTAGTTTAAGACGGCTATTAAGTCTCCTCAGTCTCCTCTTTTCTAGACTGAATAAGCCCAGTTCCCCCCGTTTTTCCTTCATTTCTCACCAGTGCTGAATCTCATGCCTGCCTGTCTCCCTCCGTGCTTTTCCCCATTGTTCCTTCACCACCATGTTTTCATTATATTCCTACGTCATCGGATGTTTCTTATTAGGGGCAACTCCATAGTCCTTCCCTATGGTTCTTCAGAGTCGTGTCCACTTCAGGTTTCCCGTTTCCCTCCATTGCTCCTCCAACCCTCGTGTCTCATGCTACCTTGTCTCACTGAAATTTATCATCAGCTCCCCCATTCTACATTTCAGCCATTTTTTTCATTGACTCACTTACAAGGTGCACTCCTAAAATCTCTCCCACTGAAATGCTTGGTGTTTTCCAATTATCACCCCATCCTTCCCATTGAATCACTTCCCTAAATTGCCCTTACCTCTTCTGCTTCCTCATCTCTGTCACACCTTTCTTATGCTTCCCTGTTCTTGCCTGTCTCTTGTGCTGCTTCATCTGGCCTTGCTGTCAAACCCTCCTCATGCCTTTCATCTCTATTACCCAGGCCACTTCATACCTCCCCATTTCCCATGATCATCTTGTCCCTATTCCTGCTTTTTCACCTTCCATCACCATCTCCAATCACTCCTCCTGCTTTCTCACCTCCCCCACCCACAGATCACTGTTGATTCTTCCCAATCTTCTATTACATCCTCCTGCATTCTCTTTGATCACCATTAACATAGCCCTACTTTTGCTTCTTCATCTCTCCTACCATTGGTCCCCATCCCCTGCATGTTTTGCCATCTCCCCAGCACCACAGTTCTTGTGCATCCACATCTTCTGTGATTGTATTGTGCCTCTTCTGCTTCACTTCCCACCCATGTCTTCATACTTCACCAACTCCCCTATACCTTCATTACTTCTGCTTCCCCATCTCCCATCCTCCTTGTTCTTTTTTTTATCTATTACCATTAACCAATCCCTCTGTGCTTCTCCATCTCTTCCACTATTGCTCCCTGTCCGCATCCTGTTGTGCCTTGTCCTCCCATCTCCCTTCACCCTTCTTACATTTTATCACCTCTTCCTAACATCCCATCCTGCCTTGTGCTTCACCTCTTCTGTTTTCTCCTCTCTCCTCCTTCCCCATCTCCCCAATTCATAAATACTCCTCATGTCCAACTACTCCCAATCCTCTGTATTACTGTAATAATCTCCATTAATAATAATCTTCAGAAAGAATTTAGATAGATTATTTCTGTAATAGTCTCCATTATTGCTCTACAGCTCTTACTATCAATTCACAATCCTTTCTCATATTTCCCCATCTTTCTCAATTGTTCTTTTGTAAGCCCCTGTACTTTCTCATCACCCTGTATGTCCTCATCTTGACCCCTGACCTCACAAGATTCCTCATCATTGCTCATTGCCCATCTGACTTGCAATGTGCTTCCACATACTCTGCCATCTCTCTTGCCTGACTCATTTATCTTCCTCTTGTTTCCTCATCTAAGACCCTTCTTTCCTTTTTATTTACGCCCGGTTTTCCCTGAGGGTTATGCTTGCAGTTACTCCTACCAGCCACCCTCATCATTTCTTATCTCTGT